ATATTTTAGAGCTGTAATCGCAATACCGTGAAACCGTGATATTTTTATTTAAGGTTATCATACCGTCAGAATCTCATACCGGCCCATGCCTAGTCCCAAGTTACTGTAGCCGTTATATGCTACGCAAGTCTTAGTGCTGGGTGGTATACCAATCAGTAGAAGATATGGTTAACACCCGGTCATGCATGAAAAAAAAATACCGTCATGTACCGTGAAACCGGTATAATTTTGAAAAATACCGTGATATCAATTTTTGGTCATACCGCCCAGCACTAGCAAGTATTTTTTTATGCCACGCACAACAATAATCACACAACCTATTCGATATTCTATAATTAAATCAACTAATCGAATATACGAAAATCGTGACCCATCCCTAGTTTGTAAGAAACAAATACATCATTAAGATGTTGCTTCCAGCTAAAATATGAGTCCTCCATCCATAATATTGCCCAATATGGGTATATGGAAAGAAAATTGTACATTTAAAACAGTTGCATAGTTCTTATTGCTTTCAATAAATTGTTTCCAAAGACATTCTAATGTCAGTTTTAAATTGTTCAAATATAGGCATTTTTTAAACCATTTGCTAATAATGAGCAAATATATTTAAACCAATCATAAAAATAAATACTAGATTTTAATCAGCATCCAATGTAAACATCTTAAAATCACATCAGCCAGACTACAAACTCAAACTCACAATAACTCGTAAATATCATCTCAGTGATGTCATCTGTCTGTATCTTTTATTTCCTGTGCAGATGACTGACAGGACATGGCGTTACTCTGTCGTCATGGCGATGGTCTCTTTAGCCTGGCTCCTCCCACTCATCGCTACTGCCACGCCCTTCCCCAGCGATCTGCAGCCAATCAGTGTGCTGCGTCTGGAAGGTGAGTCACATGACTGACGGGATCTCAGTGAGTGGGTGTGTTGGACTTCAAGCGGTCGGTGCATGACATCAAAGTACTGCAAAAGCTATAGAGAGCAGACGCTCCGTATGCTTTCGAATCGCGCTCGCGGTACTTTGATGTCATAGGTCAGCGCAGCGCGGCTTCAAGTCGTCCCCAATCACTGATCACATTCTGTCCTCCTTATCAATAGATTTTTGTTTTAATGGCTTTTGAAGGCATATTATGCAAAACTTGACCAAAATGTTACAACTCATTCAAACCCATTGATCTTAAATCAATGGGTTTGAAAAAGAGAATAAAAAAAAAAAGAGAAAAAAAATATTTTTATTTTACTTTAGTTGTTTGAAATTGTTGTCAGCAAGTGATGCCTGGTGTTTTAAAATCTGTTCATATTTTAAAAGTCATGTAGTGTATTCCAGCCCGTGTTATTTTAGGAAAATTGAGATTCTATTATAGTTTTTTTAAATATTTTGATTTAGTTTTAGTTTTCTTTTTCTTTCAAGTTTTTTTTTTTTGTTCATATAGTTTTTATTAATTTTTGTTTCAGTTTAAATTGGAGTTATTTAAGTGCATTGTTAAACTAAATGAAAAAATGATTTGCCTTTGGTGCATGGTATTTACAGTTAACAAAAACTAAAACCATAAAAAAAAAATTTTTTGTTACTTATTACTTGTTACTTTTTGTCACTTAAAAAAGTGAAAAATTTAAGGGGGTCTGAATACTTTCCGTACCCACTGTATATATATATATATATATACATACATAAAACTACAATAATATCTCAATGATACATAAATAACACCACCTTGGCAACTAGTGGAGATAAAATAAGTTTAAAGGCACAATATGTAAGATTTTCATAATAAAATATCCAAAAACTACTTGCACAGTGTGATATATTTCATGCAGTTGTGTATTTATGTTATCCCAAAAGTTCCCAAGGATTTGTAAATCCAGAGAAATTCACATTTTTAATAATAGCTCATCCCTGTTCATTGTCGCTTATCAATGACGTAATATCCGCATATCCTCAGTTTCCGCTTGTAGAAGCTATGGCAACACAAGACACAAATGCTGCTGTACAGTTAAACTAAATCCATTACGGCTGTCACGAATAAAATGAAATGAAAAGTGTTGCGCATTATAACCAATCACACATGAGTTGAGCTTATGAATACAATGACCAATCAGAGCACGCACTCGCGAATTCTCTCATCATAAACAACAAAGTGCAGATGTACGTATGTTGTAAGAGATTCATTCATAAAGCCGTGTATAGACAGCTTTACTGATTATAAGTGAGAGTGCAGCTTAAACTCGCGCTAGACTTAAGTCAGTCATAATGTTCTTTCACAATGTAAATGTTCTTTTCTCACATTCTCTGTATAATTTATTCGCTGTTTGAATAACTGTGGAAGGTACAGACCATTAATTCATTACCTCATCCGTGAGCGTCATCAAGCTTCGCCTTTGTTTTGAAAATGCGACCTCTAGTGGCGAAAACTTGCATATTGTGCCTTGAAGTGTTTTTTAGAGATGCGCCGATTGCAATTTTCATGGCCGATTCTGATTTCTGATTTTTTTTTTTGCAAGTGTGACCTGCTAATACCGATTTTTGCTGATTCCGATTCTCTTTCTAAAAACTATAATTGACAGCATATACAAACAAAAATCTGTACTTTAATGCAATAATTAAAAAAAATTATTAAACATTACAATTCCCCCAATCTGGACAAAGTTACAGATGTTCTCTCACTTAAACAACTCTCAAAATAAAGTGCTCTGTGACTAGAAAAGAGGTAGAAATAATTAACTGAAAAGAAGTTGCTGTATATAACAAAACAGATGTAATTTCCCACTATATTTCTTAAATTGTAATTTTTTCACTAACTTTATTAAATGTGTCATCTTTCACCATTCAAATGAAACCAGTACCAACAAACTCCATCTTTTCACTGCAGAGGAAACACAGAAACTGCATCTGAAGTGCCATTAGATGTATTTACAGACTGTTTGATGAAGCTGAGCTGCCATAAATGCATTTACACTGCAAGATTTCGAATGCACAAAGAATTTTATAAGATTAAAGTTTTAAAAATGCAATGAAAAATTTAAACATGAAACCAATCCAGTAGGTGGCGGCAAATGACTGTTTGAATGAGTGAGTCATTTAGTCCTTCATTCAACAGATTTGTTCAAACGGCTGATTCATTCATTCATGTCTTTATGAAAGGGTTACTGAATCATTGACTCGCTTGATTCGTTCAAAAACGTGGATTCATTCAGTAAAGACACACCGCTGTGTTGCTCGGAGACACAAAACAGTTCAGCTGTGGCTTTGATTGGATGTATTTTCATCAGCGAAACTGAGCAAAAACAGTCAATATTGTGTCTAAAATGTGGGTCACTTAATTGTAGCTTTTTGTTTATTGAACTACTATTGTATAAAATCACATTGCAATCTTGTTGAAATGTTTTGTTCGTGCAATGTTGCGTACCTAAATCATATATTATACTTTTTTTTTTTACTACCACAGTATGCATCAATAACGTTCTGCACAAGCCTCATCTGGCACGACATAAATACATGATCAGTCTCCGTAAGTGTGACATCTAGAAAGACCGGCTCGGAATTGGCAGACCGGAAAATCGGCTAATTCCGGTCCCTGGCCGGTCGATCGGTGCATCTCTAGTGTTATAGGTTTTAGTTTTAGTTTCAGTTGATTCCAGTCTTGACCTATAAACAACTAACGTTCTGTTCAGAGCATCACATAAATCTGCTTGCTTTTCGTAAATGCTGGTTTTATCTGCTCTGTTTCTTGTGCTCCACAGACTCGCACCGGTATCCCAGTTTTCAGGGTCTGATGTTTAATAATGGCACGGAGCGTCTGGGTCTGGACTATCAGCGGATGATCCGGATCCAGCATATGCTGTACATCGCTGCCAGGTCACTGAAGATCAGTCTGTTCACCAAACCACATGCCTGGATTGGATGGGTTTTAAAGAAATGTCATTCTGTTAGACGTTGATATATTTGGCCACACGTATAAAAGAACTGGAAACAGCTGGAGAAGTCATGAAATCATGAAGACATTGTGACTTTTTCTTGTGTTTTTCTTCTGTTTAGAGACCATGTATTTGTTGTGAATCTCACTTCTGCAGTCGATAAAATCATCCCACAGCAGGTAAAACACACAGGTGTCACCGATGCCGAAAACATGCATGATTATTACTATAACAATAACAATAATACAGCTATTAAACATTTGTGTTTTTAAAGGAAATATCTCAACTTACATGTTTTAATTTTAATAATAAACCTGTTATTGAAGAAGTGTTTTTAAATTAAATAAATTTGTATTAAATGAGATTTTATATTATATTTTATGCCTTAATTTGATGCTACTATTATATTGATTACTACTGTTTTTGGTAATAAATTTGTATTAAAATTAAAACAGACAACACAGAATTGGGGGGGGGGGGGGGGAGTTTAAAAGTTAGTTTAAATTATTTGAATTTGGTTGATTAGGCATGCTTTTTGAATATTATAATTTAATTAGACCATTAATTATTCTGAATTCTGAAAAAGTAAAACAAAAAATCACAGAATTTAAAGGAAATATGGGAAAAATGGATTTCATAGGGCCCTAAAAGTGTTAATACATTGTTGTTAAATTGTGTAATTTTCATGATTTCAATTAATCATACATGATATTTGATGACTCAAATTTAAATCAAAAACGTAGTCCAGAAAAATGAAAACATAAAAAAATCAAAGAAAGAATCAAATGGATTTCATAGAGGCCTAAAAATGAAATCTTTGTTACATTTTTTTTTTTTATACGTTTCATGATTTCAGTTAATTAAATTTTTTGTTGTTGTTGATTAAAGCAATAAGCCCCATGAAGCCGTGGTTTACAGCTTACTACGTATATGGAATAACCGTTTTATAAAAGCAATAAGCCCCGTGTAGCCGTGGTTTACAGTGAATTTATAACAGCTAAGGGGCGTTGTTAAGTACGACGCGAAGCGGAGTTAAACAGAACAAATAAAGTGTAATGATATTAATAAAAACAGTATTCTGCCACCAAACAATGTAGCTCCTCAGAAACAGTTGTGGTTGCAACAAAGTTGTTGCCGAGCAACACACAAACGTAAACAAAGGTGTATGTTACTTTGTAGAGTCATTTACAACAGCTTCGAACGTGGCTCAGCCAATCAGAATCAAGCACCGGAACTATCCGGTTTATAATTTTTGATTGAACCATTGCATTTAATTTAACCATTAAAACAGAATCTAGAAAAATAAAAAAATAAACAGAATTTGGGGGAAAAGATGAAACTGATTTGATCTGTCACACACGAGGGCTCATGGTGATCTGTGTTTTCAGATACTGACGTGGAGGTCTACAGACGTGTCAAAGTGCGCCGTGAGAGGAAGAAACAGCGTAAGTATCTCCATCCGAGCAGAGCGGATATCAGATGAAGAGCGTCTGATACGACACGCAGCTGGATGAAAGATGTCTCTTCAGTCCTACTGACGGAAAACTATCACTGCCATGAACCTTCAGAGACATTCAGCAGATGCTTACACCTCATATTAACTTCCTTCTCTTATGTTTTCCTCTGACCATTTATGATTGGTTTTCGTTTTTGTCAACAAGTGTCAAAAAATCCAAATCCAAGAACTGCACACACGAAATGCAAAATGCCTCACATCTCTTGCAAAAATTAAGCACTGCATTCAAAATATCACAAACACATCTCAAAAGCAAACGTCTGTCTTGTGTTGCAAACACCTTTGCCATAATATCATATTTTTGGATAGTACTTAGTGTGGCTTTTTGATTGGTTGTGTTTGAAAAAGATACTTCCTGTTAGATTTTTGTGTGTTACGCAGAGAATTGTGTGTTGTGTTTTGCAAAAAGTGTTTTATGAAATTGAAAACCGAGTCAAAGGCAGAGAACTAGCGTATGGTTTTGCAGATTTGGTGTGTGCTTCTGCTGATTTTAGAAATTGCCTTGCCTCGACAAGTAAAGATTTTGTGTGTAAGCAGTTGAAAAAAACTGTGTCTCTTTAATGCTCCAGTTTTTAAACTTCAAATTTCATTTAGTTGCCAAGGTAGCATTTCTCATTTTCTGTTTAACTTTATGTGCTAAAATACCTCAAATTTAAATAAAATGAAAACTAATATAGACATATATAAAAAAAAAAAAAGAATAATATGAATCTAAAAATGCAACAAAATTGCTCAAACTATTTAAACAACAATAATAATATTTATTAATAATAATAATAATAATAATAAAATAAAATGTATTTAACAAAGATTTTATTTTACAGTAAATAATACTAATATAGACATATATAAAAAAAAAAAAAGAATAATATGAATCTAAAAATGCAACAAAATTGCTCAAACTATTTAAACAACAATAATAATAATATTTATTATTAATAATAATAATAATAAAATAAAATGTATTTAACAAAGATTTTATTTGACAGTAAATAATAATATATTTTTATTACATTTTTACAATTTAAATAATAAACTATTATTTTTGTATAGTCATATTGAATATTAGTGTTGCAGTTTTACTGTTGTTCTGTGAAATAACAAAGACAATAATAATGATAAATATTATTAGTGCTACTATTATTATTAATAATAAAAAAATAAAACATTTTATTTCACAGTAAATAGTAATATATTTTTTTATTTATTGATTTGATTTTATAATTTAAATGATAAAATAAAACCGTATTTTGATTATTATTATTATTAATATGATTGTTTTTGTATTCCGTCTTTTTGTCTGATCACAGACCTCTTGATGATTGATTATATGTATGTATGTATGTATATATCTTTGTATGAAAAATGTGGTGTTAAATGTAATTGTGGTATGAAGATATTTCTACTAATTTTTCACTAAAATGTAATATTTATTTATTCATTCATTCATTTTTTTTTTTTTTAGTAATGAGACTTATGTGACCTTTTTGAGCAATTATTGTGGATTGTTGACCAAGAGTTTTGAAATTGAAATGAGAATAGTTGGAAATTATGAAATTATGGAACTATGTAAATGAATCAGTGTTATTAACATGGCACTTAATGATTAATATTAACATGTTTACATGCATCACTCCGTTGTTAGTTTTGATTGCTTCCATTGTCCTCATTTGTAAGTCGCTTTGGATAAAAGTAATGTAATGTAAATGATTAAATTGCTCTTGATTGACAGTCTTAAATTTCAGCCAGACACCAGTTTGATTGACTCTTTCACTGATGTTTTATTTTTGTCTCTGTATGTCAGGTGGTCATTTCTATTCGGCCACAGTGACGGACTTCCAGGCGAGTGACGCTGTGATCTACAGGAGTTTGGGTGGAGAGGGGCGACCCGTCCTGCGGACCGTCAAATACGACTCCAAATGGCTCAGAGGTGCATGTTTATATCAATGGTTCCTCAGATCATGTGTGTTGCTGCTAATATAAATGAAAATGTTGCCTTGACAACTAGCTAAAATGTAAAACAAAAAAAAAATTTTAAATATATATTTTTATATATAATGTTTATTTTAACTCAAGTAACGAAAATGTTTTTTTTTAATGGTTTAAATTTTAGTTAACAATAATAACCTATATAATGTAACCTAATATGTGACCCTGGTCCACAAAACCAGTCATAAGGTAATATATTTTTTTATTTATTGATTTGATTTTATAATTTAAATGATAAAATAAAACCGTATTTTGATTATTATTATTATTAATATGATTGTTTTTGTATTCCGTCTTTTTGTCTGATCACAGACCTCTTGATGATTGATTATATGTATGTATGTATGTATATATCTTTGTATGAAAAATGTGGTGTTAAATGTAATTGTGGTATGAAGATATTTCTACTAATTTTTCACTAAAATGTAATATTTATTTATTCATTCATTCATTTTTTTTTTTTTTAGTAATGAGACTTATGTGACCTTTTTGAGCAATTATTGTGGATTGTTGACCAAGAGTTTTGAAATTGAAATGAGAATAGTTGGAAATTATGAAATTATGGAACTATGTAAATGAATCAGTGTTATTAACATGGCACTTAATGATTAATATTAACATGTTTACATGTATCACTCCGTTGTTAGTTTTGATTGCTTCCATTGTCCTCATTTGTAAGTCGCTTTGGATAAAAGTAATGTAATGTAAATGATTAAATTGCTCTTGATTGACAGTCTTAAATTTCAGCCAGACACCAGTTTGATTGACTCTTTCACTGATGTTTTATTTTTGTCTCTGTATGTCAGGTGGTCATTTCTATTCGGCCACAGTGACGGACTTCCAGGCGAGTGACGCTGTGATCTACAAGAGTTTGGGTGGAGAGGGGCGACCCGTCCTGCGGACCGTCAAATACGACTCCAAATGGCTCAGAGGTGCATGTTTATATCAATGGTTCCTCAGATCATGTGTGTTGCTGCTAATATAAATGAAAATGTTGCCTTGACAACTAGCTAAAATGTAAAACAAAAAAAAAATTTTTAATATATATTTTTATATATAATGTTTATTTTAACTCAAGTAACGAAAATGTTTTTTTTTAATGGTTTAAATTTTAGTTAACAATAATAACCTATATAATGTAACCTAATATGTGACCCTGGTCCACAAAACCAGTCATAAGGGTACATTTTTTTTTAAAATTGAGATTTATACATCATCTGAAAGCTGAATAAATAAGCTTTCCATTGATGTATGGTTTGTTAGGATCGGACAATATTTGAAAAACTGGAATCTGAGGGTGCAAAAAAATCTAAAGGGGTCATCGGATGCAAAATTCACTTTTGTTGTTGTTTGAACATAAATGTGTGTTGGAAGTGTGTGTACACATCCACCCTATAATGATAAAAATCCACCCAGTGTTTTTTTAAAAATCCTCTTTCTCAAATCAGGCTGTTCTGAGATTCCTGTCAGAGTGACGTAGTTCTGCACAGGCCCCTCCCACGATTGTTGATTGACAAGTCCGTCTTACCTTAGCTCCGCCCTGAGTGAGCTGTGAGCTGTCCGCCATTGTGTCGACTCCGGTGCAGGGGAAGACAAGAATGTCTCTGATTAAGCGATTGAGGTGTTTTGTTGCTGGATGTAATAATGAACATCGCAGTCGTCATTTACTCCCGACATCTGAAGACGCAGAGGATTACAATGTATTGTTGGCTATTGCTACAAATATACCCGTGCTACTTATGACTGCTTTTGTGCTCCAGGGTCACATAATAATGATCTTTACTATATGATGGTCTGTTGATTTTCAACATGATAGCAGCCTTTTATAATAGATTTATTTATTCTATTTATCTTATTTTTAACCTCTTTCTTGCCATCAACATGACCGTGGTAGCTGGAATTGCATTAAATTACAACAAAAGTATTTTTGTATATTTCATAATTCTAAAAAAAAACAACATGCTATCTTGTCTGTGTTGTGTTGTCTCTACAGAGCCTCACTTCCTGCATGCTGTCGAATACGGCAACTACGTGTATTTCTTCTTCAGTGAGATCGCAGTGGAGCACACCGGCGCTGGGAAGGTAAAAGATGAGTGTGTGAGAAGATTTAGACATTCAGTTCTGTTATAAAATCAGTTAGTGATTCCTGCTTGCTCCTCATGGTGTAGGTGGTGTATTCGCGCGTGGCACGTGTGTGTAAGAACGACAGCGGCGGCTCCACTCGGGTGTTGGATCGCCACTGGACGTCGTTTCTGAAGGCGCGCCTGAACTGCTCGGTTCCTGGAGACACGTTCTTCTACTTCGATGTGCTGCAGTCGCTCACCAACGTGCTGCAGATCAACCAGCGACCCGCTGTGGTGGGAGTCTTCACCACACAGATCAACAGGTACACAGTCACCACTAGGGTTCGGTACCCAACTCTGTACTTTTAAGAGTACCTATTCACATTAAATTAATAACTAGGGATGTGACGATGAACCGCGAGCCGGTTGAAAATCGATTCGAATATGTGACGATTCAAATCGGTTGAGATGCCAAACAAATCGCGCGATACAGTTGGAGCAGGAGTTTATATGAATGTATCTCTGAGGGGAAATGACTGTCTTTAAAAAAAGTTTATGTGGTATTTTCTTTTCATCTTGCTTCTGAACGATGCATATTAAAGTAGTGTTCATAAGCGCAGCACTGCTTTGTTTACAGCGGTAACCAAGGAAACACTGTATCATTGCTGTTCATAAGCAGCAGCTCTGCTTTGTTTACAGCGGTAACCAAGGAAACACTGTATCATTGCTGTTCATAAGCGCCACCTGCTGTCAGAGAGTGGATCTGCGTCTCATTCAGCTCGTCTGCTGCTTCCTTCAGATAGGTTTTATGTAGTATAGTTTCACAAAACTAAAGTCAGACCATTCTGTTTTTGCTTCAAATTTCGAAATTATACAATCTAATTTAGATTAAAAACTGCTCATGCAGCACAGTGTGGGGGCGTGTTAGAACGAGCCGTTTTAGGTAGGTGTGGCTGACTCTTAACTTTGATAAAGAATATCTCTTTGGATTTGAGACTTTAGTCTTTGCAACTTTACAGATCTTCTTTATGCACCAAGAGCTTGTAACACTCCAAAGAGAAAGGAAAACTTGAAATCGCATCATATGACCCCTTTAATGTGTTACTTCGCCAAAACTTCATGGCCTATGCACACTAGCTTGGCGTGGAAGTTCTTCATTGTGAGTGAGGCAGACACAAAGTTGGCAGTTTCTAATACAATATTGACCGTTTTTGCTCAAGTTCGCTGACGAAGTTCAATCAAAGCCACAGCAGAACTGTTTTGTGTCTCCGAGCAACACAGCAGTGTTTCGATTCTGAATGAATCCACGTTTTTGAACGAATCAAGTGAGTCAATGATTCAGTAACCCTTTCATAAAGGCAGATGCCTCGATTCTGAATGAATCAGCCGTTTGAATGAATGACTAATGATTTGCTCATTAAAACAGTCATTTACCATCATCTACTGGTGGTTTGGTGTTATATTTACAAGTATTGCATTTTACCCAACATTTTTAACTTGTATGTTCAAAAATATTTAAAACATTAATCTTACAAAATTATTTATGCATTTGAAATGTTGTGGTGTAAATGCATTTATGGCACCACGGCTTCATTAAACAGTCTATGTGAATACATCTAATGCCACTTCAGATGCAGCTTCTGATTCCTCTGCAGTGAAAAGATGAAGAGTTTGTTGATACTGTACCGGTTAAAATGTGACACACACGCACCGCACCACATGTTTGATCAGTCTGTGTCTGTGTGTCCCAGCATTCCCGGCTCAGCGGTGTGCGGGTTTTATTTGGATGACATTGAGCGAGTGTTTAATGGGAAGTTTAAGGAGCAGAAGAACAGTGATTCGATGTGGACGCCGGTGCCTGAGGAACACGTGCCCAAACCACGGTACAAACACACTCACACAAACAAACAAACACACACACACACCTTCACACACACACACACACACTCCGAGAAATAAGTGGTGCTCATGTCACAAACATTAAGTTGGAAAAAAAACTCTTTGGTGAGAGTGAATCTCACCAAAACTGTCAGAAACATACTTGCACAAAATCAGAGGAAAGAAATTAAGGAATTACATTATGCATAAAGAAAATAACCATTAAGATATTTTTTATTATTATTATTATTATTTCATTACAATTAAACACAACAACGTCATTACAATTTCCCCCCAATCCTTATTATTGTAATATGAGAAAAAAAGATATTAATTAAGGTGTTCATACATTTTTCATATAATAATGGAGCATTAAGCACACTATGACACTGAAGACTGGAGTAATGATGCTGAAAATAAGCTTTGATCACAGGAATAAATTGCATTTTAATATATATATTCACATAGAAAACCGCTGTTTAAAATTGTTATAATATCTTACAATTAGAGCCCGACCAATATGGGTTTTTTGGGGGCCGATACCGATATTAGGGAGTAAAACAAGACCGATACCATCGGCCGATATCCTTTGTGTAGGCTATATTATAGTACAGTATAGTCAAAAGTTTGGACACACTTCCCATTCTTGTGTCCAAATTTTTTACTTTTTACTGAAATAAAATAACTGAAATAAAATAAAATGTTCAAATAAAAAATTCCACTTGTTTTATTTCCGCTAGTTGCCAAGATTTACATAACCAAAACTAAATAAACTAAAACTAAAAGTTGATAAAAACTGTACAAGTATACTTATAAATGAATAAATAAATGACAAAAGAAAAAACCAACACAAAAAAAAAAAAGACTAATACTCTGGTCTGTGTGTGTTTGTGTGTTCAGTCCAGGTTCATGTGCAGGTGAAGGTTCAGCGTCCTCCTACTCATCTTCTGTTCAGTTTCCAGACTCTGTGCTTTCATTTATTAAGACGCATCCGCTGATGGACGAGTCTGTGCCGTCAATCAACAGCCAACCGCACACACACACACACATACACACACACACACACGTTTGTGTGACTCTGCATCATACTGATGTGTTTGTACTGTGCAGGTATAAGCTGACTCAGATTGTAGTGGACACGGCGGCTGGGCCTCATAAGAACCGCAGCGTTGTATTTCTGGGCTCTGAAGACGGACGGGTCCTGAAGATCCTGACAGGCACTCAAGCCAACAGCTCACGCAGCTCCAGACTGCTGGAGGACCTCCACGTCTTCAGCCCCACACAGTGAGCGTCACGGCAGCACCGCTCTGACTGTCTGTCACGAAGCTTTTCTTGTCTAAAGCTTGCCGTCTTGTTCCAGGTGTACTGGAGAGCGCACTGTGTTGGGTCTGGAGCTGGATAAGGAGCATCACGCTCTGTTTGTGGCGTTTTCCAGCTGCATTATCAGAGTTCCTCTCAGCCGCTGCGCTCGACACACCACCTGCAAGAGGTGAGGCATTCACATAGGGCTGCAACAAATAATCGATAAAATCGATTATTTAAAGTTAGTACACAGTCATAGCCATAAATGCAATGGTACTAATAATTGGCATAATTTCTTTCGGTGTTTCGGTTTTCGGCCTTGGTTTCCTCTTTTTCGGTTTTCGGTTTTCGGTTTCGGCCAAGAATTTTCATTTCGGTGCATCCCTAGAATGAATATAGCGCTTTATTGTGTATTGTTAATAAACAAAAAGCATGTTTAATCAATTGAGCCTTAACAGTTTAATAATAAAAAATAAAAAAAAGTACAGTAATAAGACCTTGTTTATTTTTCAGAAAATCTATGATAACTGTTTTTTATCTTTCTGGATTCATTTTTGGTTAAATGAAATTTTAGTTATCATAAACCGTGTCTAATTAATTGATATCATGAAACCTATACAATTCATTATGTGATTAAATACAATTTTGTTATCAAAAAACAGTGGTCTTCAGATGAACTCTTAAAACATTAAGAATTTAATTAATCAAATGTGATCAAATGAAAAATTTAACAATTGCTTTTATTTGGTAAACAAAGTGATGCACAACAGAGGTTTACTGTAAAAATTAAAACATGGAAGAAAAATAAGAGTCATTGGTTCATGATTCAGAATAGATGTAATGTTGTGGTTTTTTTTTGTCAGACTTGCTGTCTGTTTATTGTCTTTGTATTATTTCACATAATAGACCCGTATCTCATCACATTCACTTGAGACAGCAAACTCATTACTCAACTAAACCGTATGTCTTCCGAAGCTTATTGTCTATCATTATTCACTCAGTGTTCCTCCACAGATGCTGTCTCCACACGCATGACCCATACTGCATCTGGCTGCGGACAGGACGCTGTGCTGACGTGGCTCCAGGGTTCAAGTAAGAGTGACATCACTTCCTGCAGCTATCACATGGAGCCTAAATGAGCCCAAACTAAACTTCCTGTCTCTGTTTTCATGGTGTGTGTCTGTCTGTGTCTGTCTGTGTGTGTGTGTGTGTGTGTGTCTGTGTGTGTGTCTGTGTGTGTCTGTGTGTGTGTCTGTGTGTGAGTGTGTCTGTGTGTGAGTGTGTGTGTGTGCGTGTGCGCGTGCGTGTGTGTGTGTGTGTGCACGTGTGTGTGTGTGAGTGTGTGTGTAAACAGGGCGGGGTTTGAGCAGGACATTGACGGTGACCAGTCACATTCATTTGACACATGCACAGGTGAGTGAGTCACTGTCACATTACTTCTGAGCTAGATGCAGTCATAATACCTTATTTTAATCTCAGATATATATTGATCTTGGAAGTATAAGAGAGAATTTTGGCACTGATGTTTGATTAAAGTCTGTCATTTAACATAAGAGGAAGTGATGAGCTTGATTCCATGCTGCTTTTATCAGTGACTTGATGTAACAGACCTGTTAAAAACTAATGTGATACTAATGAACTAATGCTGATCTCTTCTATATTTGTGTATGTTCAGATGTGATGTCAGCAGCAGGTAGTGATGTGAACTCAGCTGTGGATTCAGCCTCTGGTCAGTGTCACACACATTATGATCTGATCGAGTTTTTTGGACAAATATTTTAAAAATCTAAAAAAATGTGCATTCTATTTTTTGGAGCATCTCAGTTGCTCCATCAGGCTTTTATGGCTCATATAGTCTGATATAGTGAGAATATGGAGGAAAAACAGCTCAAAATATGAATTTGGTGCAGATGCTGATATTTATATGATGAGATTCTGATGCTTATAATGTAAATCAATGAGATGTTTATAACAGTAGAGCAGATACTGACATAAAATGATCTAAATATCACTCTATATCTCCAGTAATCTGTCTCAGTAAGATGAGATTGAAATGCTCCAAACATATAATGCAGTGATTGAGAGCTGAAGAAATAAAGGCTCCTCAGAAGATGTGAGATGTTCTGGAGGCTTGTGAAGATCATTCCTCCGCTGAGGAACAGTGAAAGTAAAGCTTCTGGAAACAAACGCTCCTCAAAAGATCCTGAGGATCAGATTTGAGACTCTAAAACATGATTGATGGAGAATCAAGTAAAGCTGAGCTGCTTCAGTCCAGTAAGTGTTCATCTGGAGATATTACTGCAGTTATTCTGACCTTTACTTGATCAAAATCAGTCAAGATTTGAC